CAGGAGAGATCACTGAGGACTGACACAGACCAGGTCACAGTGCACAGTGTCAGATGGACAGATGGAGTGATATTGGCAAGTCGTAACACTAATGAGTCTCTGATTTCATGTTAAGCTAACTGATTCTTGCCAATGACCATGTACTCTGTTAGCCTTTTAGGAAACTCATGTATTCTTATATTTAATATCTGGCTGACAAAGAGGTCACATGTACATATTAGATGGTAGGTGGTACCTTTTTCTTTTGAGACAGCGTCTTACTCAGCCACCCTGAGTAGAGTGCCCTGGTGTCATAGCTCATAGCAACCTCCAACTCTTGGGCTGAGGTAATCCTCTTGCCTCAGCCTCCCGTGTAGTTGGGACTATGTGTGCCTGCCATAACGCCTAGGTAGTTTTTCTCTTTTTAGTGGAGACAGGGTCTAGTGTTGCTTGGGCTCGTCTAGAACACCTGAGCTCAAGCAATCCACCTGCCTTGGGCTCCCTGAGTGCTGGGATTACAGGTGTGAGGTACCTTCCCCTCCCTAGGTACCTAGTTGGTACCTTTTAAGAGGGAAGCGATGGTTTTCCCTACAGTAGGACCTGTAAGAACTTGGTTCTTATGGTCCATGTTCTTGCCCAGCCCTAGTGGCAGCAGTGTCCCCTTCCTCCTGTCACGAGAGGGAGCTCAGAAGGCCCGCACACCTGTATTCACAGTTGCCGCGAGTTGAAGGCAGTGTTCCTGCAAACCATTTTCTTTACTTGAGAATGTCCCCCCTCCTTAAGGGAGAAATTTCATATTTATGGCGAGAGTTTTAATTTCATAGGGAAATATCAGGGCTGTACAGTTTGAACAGTGACCTCCCCGGGTCCACTTATGTGGTTTTATTCTAACCAAACACATGGAGAATACAGTATTTGTGGAGTGAGAGACTCATGTGTCTGCCAGATTTGGGTATATGTGGGGGTCCTAGAATGAATGTACTTAAAATTTTTCATTTGATTAATAGACTCATATATATATATATATATATACATGTACATATATATTTTAGTGTATTAATTAAAAAATACTCATGTAAGTACTTCCTTCCCTAAGTGTCAAAGTATCCTGGTGTTTTGACGGCACACTGTGGTGTGACGTGCCGCCTGCCGGGTGCTGTGCTCCTCCTCTGCTTCCTCACTCTGTCCCACAGAAGCACTGTCTCTGCACCTGCTCACGGTTTCTGTCTCTTCTCTGAAGGTCCATATTGGTTATCTTCCCAACAAGCAAGTCCTGGGCCTCAGCAAACTTGCAAGGTGAGTGTGAGTATGTGCCGAGTAGGAAAACAGATTTGTGGGGCCGCCCTGGGTGCCGGGACCCTGTCCCTTCAGCCTTCCTCCTCCTGTAGTTTCAGAGATGCAAACAGACCCAGGAGGCCTGAAACGCAGATACCCCCGCCTGCCCCCCTCATTGCCTGCCCTCCCCCACCCCTCCTCCCACTTGCCTTGATGTCGTACCAGCTGGGGAGGACCTGAGGTTGTATCAGTCCAGCCCGTCCTTGCAGAGCCTTTAGCTAGCAGTGAGGGGTGGGAGAAGAAATGTGGGCAGGGGTCTGACTGTGCTGTACTGCTCTCAGACTTTTAATCAAAGCCTCATGTGAGCCCAGCCCCCTCTTGCCTCCCCCAGTCCTAGGTGCCCCCAGGCGTCTCCCTGGGTTCGCTCAGCTCACATCCAGGCTCCTTGCCCCAGCAAGCACAGACTGCGTGGTCCTTGGCCTTGCTCAGCTCTGTTCTAAGGCAGAGCCCTCCTCTTACTTCTCTCTTGTCTCTGCAGTCTTCCTTCCCATTCTTCCTCAATCTTTCTTTCCAGTGAGTTCATGCCTTTTAAAAAAGTCCCTTTGCCCCCATTTTACCTGGGTTTTTGGAGGGACAGGAGAGACGCACGTGCTGTGGTCCCTGGTAACCCCGTGAGGGGCTGTGTTCCTGCACCTCGGGGGGGGGTCCTGGTAACCCCGTGAGGGTCTGTGTTCCTGCACCTCTGGGGGGGTCCTGGTAACCCCGTGAGGGTCTGTGTTCCTGCACCTCGGGGGGGTCCTGGTAACTCCGTGAGGGTCTGTGTTCCTGCACCTCGGGGGGGGTCCCGGTAACCCCGTGAGGGTCTGTGTTCCTGCACCTCGGGGGAGGTCCCGGTAACCCCGTGAGGGGCTGTGTTCCTGCACCTCGGGGGGGTCCCGGTAACCCCGTGAGGGTCTGTGTTCCTGCACCTCTGGGGGGGTCCCTGGTAACCCCGTGAGGG